AAGAAATGCCTGTAGATGTGTTTATGAAACTGAAACTGTTGTGATAGCTCAGCATATACACTGCAAAAATTAGTAGTTAAAACAACCCATAGGTGGTTACCTCAGTTTCACTAAACAATAGACTTCCGGAACTGAGATAACCTTTTATGGGTAGTTTTAAACAATTATTTTGCTGTGTAGTTTTGTAAATAGATTTATTGAGTATAGTGTGGCCCACTCCCTGTGTGTACGTGACTACATGATTTAAAAATAGCAGCAACAATACTACATGATGTTAAAGGGAGTTTACCATTACAACTTATACAAGAGAGACCATTTGGTGCAAATGGATCTAAGATTTGCTGTGTAGTGTTAAGAGAGTCTGTAGTGTACATCACGCATGTACATATTTAGGAGGAAAAACTATGAAACTGAAATTATCATGATGGAATGCCAGGGCTGCCTGCTCTGCTCAAAAATGCAATTACCAATATTCTGCAGTGTCCTGCAAAATGTTAGCATAAGGCATGAGTAACACAAATAACTGGCTAATTGTCTAATTCAAAACAGTCATGGAGCCAGAATGATGGTAGCATAAATACTATACACCAACACCAAAACTTCACTAAGATTGATACACCAACCCTGACCACCTCACTAAGAGATACTTACCTAATACCTGCTCACAGGTCAAGCCACTCAGCACATGATGATCACATGACATTCATGCACACAATATTATAATAGACAAGCTTCAATAGGACATACAGCAGTAGTGACAGTGCGTGTTTTTACTTATAATAAACCAACAGGCAATCTCTTCTCACTGCATTTTAGGGAGCATAAAGTACATGCATTAGACCTATTTATAATACATTCCTGTTTTGTCTTTGAATATTTTTAGTAATTTTTGATCCTATATTTTGTTTTTTTCCACTATTGTATCTTCATTTTTGAGTTGTTGTTGTTATTATTTATGTATAATTATTATTATCATAAATTAAAGCAGGTTAATGAGGTTGTTTTATTTTGTACGTGTGTATCTTCTTTATAATTTTAAAGAAAAGTAGTCAAACCTCATAAGGAAATGGGCTAATCTGTGAAAAAAAATTAACATTAGGTTTACGTATAGTGGCAACTGGCAAGCATTGAAAGAGATATTTTCAGTCTTGCTAGTGTTTTTCACAGAACTTGACAAAATCTCCTTGTTAAGCATATTCTTTATACAGCAGTTTCAGTTAGTTATTGTCAATTGTTTACTGTAACTTGATTGGATAGTAACACTATAAAAAAACACTGCAAACATTAGAATTGATACAAGGACATTGAAAGTAGTTACAATAACACTACTGTGATCATAAAAGTTACACTAAAATGGACTAAAATATTATGAATCAATCAGTGACACTCCAGAACTAAAATGTATATCGAGGAGTGTATGTATGCATAACAAGCAAGTACATGAGCAATGTATACTGCTGTATCACATAGCGTACATGTACATGTATATTAAATTGCACTGTTAGTTTTTACTGTTTCATAAGTTATGTTTCATTAATAGCAGTATCATTAACATTGACATCAGGACACTCATATACTGCCTCTTTTGTAACATGTTTAGTCTTGTGAATACCATATGGTTCACAGGCTTGCATTGGTATATCATCATCAAGCCTATCACAAGCAATAGTAATGTACAAAGAGTTATGAGTGTTTCTTTACTTTGTTTGCTTAGCAGTGGTTGTATCATAGGTTTTATGCCTGTACATAAACAACATTAAATTGTATTTTATGGTTGTTAATGTATTCATACTTGATAAAGCAGTAGATGTGAATAATGATACTAACAACTAGTGATATTAATAATAATCCAATCACTGCAACCAATCCAATACTAGCACCATCAACAGCTCCTGATAGTATTAATAAAAAATATTATGAAATTATTTGTGTCTTAACATTTACCAATTATTATTGTACCTGTATTAGTTGATCCTACTTCTTGAGTAGTTACTAGTGTTATTGTCACAAATTGAGTACTGATCAATGTCACTGTCATTCCTGAAGATAACTCTGTAC